AAAAATATGACTTAAAACATCAACAGATTTTCACACAAATAGGTGAAGAGAACACAGTTGAACAGATGAAACAGAAATATCATACTTGGTCATTGATTTATTGAAAATGATCTAATGTCACACATCTGTGAACCTTTCCTTTTAGTATTTCTTGTGATGCCCTTTTGCATCAATAACTGCAAATAAACGTTTCCTGTAGGTCTTCATCAGTCCTGCACATGAACTTGGAGGAATTTTAGCCCATTCCTCCATACAGAATTGCCTCAACTCAGGGATGTTGCTGGGTTTTCTTGAATGAACTGCACGCTTCAGGTCCTTCCACAACATGTAGCTGGGATGCTGCCAGCTAAGGCTCCAATTAAAGCTGTTTTTCCTTTCAGGTTTTAGAAAAACCCTCTCAGTTAGCTGAAGAAAAAGTTTGTAATGTTCCTTAATTTATCAGATCTCTGATTATACCTAAGGTTGAAGATTGATGTTATGGGGATTTTTGAAAGTTTTATTTTTAAAGATGTGTTTGTCGCTCCATGATAACAAATTTGAATTACGTATGACAAGTTTTTGTTCTAGGGATATTTACAGAATATTATGATTAAGTTATGGAAATGTTCAAAGTGTCCATTTTTCCTGGTGTTCACAGAACGTCATCCCACTACTACAGCTAAGACTAATAATATAAAAACAAATGAAACGCGTGCTAGAGCAGTAGGTAACACTGTGGCGTTATAGTTCACAGGTGATGGATATGAGGCTGGTTGACAGTATACATATACAGTACTTTTATAAAATAACATACTATTATGAAACAATATTTTGCAACATGAATTGTTTTAAAAGGATTTTCAGACAATATTGTTATTGTACTGACATTGACAGAACTTCTGTTAAAATGTGGAAATAATGTTCTATTAACGTTACAGTAAGAACATTCTCTCCCATGCTGGGAATGCTCTCTGGTAGCTGGGATGCTGTCATTTTAGTCCTTGTCAGCCATGAACATCAGCAGCTGCAGCAATTAATGCTTGCAGTTTAGTGGCACATTTCCGATTTCTCAGCCCCATAAACACCCAGAATTGTTAATCCCCTAGATGACTGGACTATTTCCTGTTGTCTTCTAGTTTTCAATACCACATCTCTCTATTGCAGCAACCTCAGTGCCTTGTGTATTGCAAAAGAGTATTCTCCAAAAACAGGAGATATTTAATATGAGGCCAACCTTCTCATTCAAGCACAGTTCAACACAGTTGTTTTTCTTAATTAAAATTGTTCCTCAAGGTCAGATCCCAAACACACTTCCCATAAGGCACAATACAAATCTGTAAAAGCATTTCACCACACTGGTGAGTGTTTTTACTGGCCCGTTTAAGACTGAAAGTTCAACAGACTGACAGTCTTCAGACCACTTTCCTAGCTATCTGCCATTATGTGGTCTCCTGGTACCTCATACACTTTAACTTCTATATCCGCCACTGAGATGCAAATGTGCAACATCCCTCAGGCTGAGAGCAGTGCAAGCAGGACGGTTAGTGTTAGGCTTAGTCTGTGCTCCTGCAGGCCAGGGGAATGACAAAAACATCAAATCAAGCTGTTTTGTGCACCTATGATGCTTAAGTGACAGTCTACATCAGGGGTCACCAGCCTTTTTGAAACTGAGAGCTACTTCACGGTTACTGAGCAATACGAAGGGCTACCAGTTTGAAACGCCCTACTAAACTTACCTAAACATGTTTTAAATGTTTTTTTTTAGATATTGTCATTTTCAAATCTATATAAATGTAAATGTGAAATATATATTATTTTCTCCCGCTCCCACCCGCAGTATTCAAGTTTTATCCCGCTCCCGCCCGCAAAATCCCGCAGGTAAACATATAAGTAGTTTTATTTTTACCGCTTCTTCCCGCTACTATGTTATTTGTTTCACTTGCTTCCCTTTTGAGTATATATATAAAAAGAAACGGAAAATAAACAAATATGTTTCGTTTTACTTGAGTTTAATTAAATGGAATGATGAACATGTACACGAACGAGGAGCTTTTCAGAACATGCCATCTCGTCCAAGCACCAGGCTGATTCCTTCTTGGGGTGTCCGGTTACGTCCCCCGGCACTCAGAGCGCGGCAATTGAAGTTTCTGTAAATTGTTATTATTTTAATTTAGTCGTTCTTGTTGCTTTTGTGCAAATAGAGTATTTGTTTTTAATAAATTAGTTTTAAGATAATTTCATTTTGCGGGAGTCCCACGATTAATTCTATTCTCCCGCAACCCGCACGTACATGAGGACCTTACTGCCCGCACCCGCATCCACCCATCAAATCTTGTCCCGCGCCGCACTCGGTGCGTTGGGTCCCGCGGTACTCCCGCGGGAGTGCAGGTCTTTACCCCAGACTCTCCTTCAACTCAAACCCCGCCCCGACACCAGACTTTCCTTCATGAAGCCCCGCCCCTTCAAAGTCCCCTGCGCGCCCACCCCCCCAGGAGCCGCGGATCAGGCCAATTTGCGTTTTACAGGGTGGTTCGGGAAATCTTATTAAAATTCATAAGCGAAGCGCTTCCTGATTAGCCAGTGAATGCCTTAGAGCCGCACATGTCGATAGGAGCACGTTCAGGTAGCGCTTCTTTATAAATATTAATGAGATAGCCAATCACGTAGCCTCTCATGTATATTAATAAGTTTTCCTGAACCACCTCGCAAAAAGAAAATTCGTCATCAGGAGCGGTTGAACCGGAAGCGTAACGTTCAGGCACGGCAGACGCAATGGATCCTGGAGGACCGGAGAACGACTGGAAGAGCCTCGCCTTCCGTCAGAAGGTGGTGGCACAAATGTAAGTGTCTGCTCCCCGTCCTGTGTTTACAGGCGGCTGCCGGTTAGTGGAAACAGTAGGTTTTAAAACACGCCCGGATATGTGTACGTTCCCGGGCAACCATCGGGTACCAGGCCGCAGATACATCCTCGGTTTCATAGTGAGTGACTTGGTCGGAAGATGCACGCGTTTCAGAAAGGGGCAGACGGCTGTTTGTTGTCGTAATGACGCCGCGGGAGCTGCTAGGCGGACAGCAGTTTCCCCTGGCCGGCGGCAGAGCTTGCAGGGTCCGGCTCTGTACTGCGTCACCCGCAGGGTCCGGGAAAGACCAGCTCCGTACACCAACCGAAATACAAAATAAATGAGTCAAAAGTGAGTAACTATCTGTCTGGTACTTCCCGGCGTTGGTTGTGTTATATAGAAGGCCAGAATGCATCCGGGTCGGAAAGATGTAATAAACTATAAGAAGTAAATGTATGTGTTGCTTATTGATAAATGTCGTCAATTCCACAACGGTTGGAGACATTTAGAGGTTCCGAGATGCTGTCTTTTTGCGTGGCTGATAATAAATACAATCATACGCGACTTTGTGGCAATGAAGTGTGTCTGTGGGGTCGGCCCTGGATGTTCTGGTGCCCCAGGTGAGATCTTCCCCGGGAAAACAGAAAGCAAATTCTGTCAGTTCATTTATATTAAAGATATATATTAGTCACAATAGCACTGTTTTTTAACAGGTTTGTTAAATCTGAGAAAGAAATACAATTTCTTTTAAATTGATGTTAGCACACCCATACATGTAACACGACCTTTTCAAGTGCATTTAACAGCTGCGTAAATTCAGGAACATGGATCAAGCTGAAATTCAGTAGACATTATCAGAAGAATCTCATTTGTACCTAGCATAAATCCAGCTAAATCCATTATTATATGAGCTGTTGGTGAACATGTATACATATGAGTTCAGGATAGCAAAAATTACTCATCTTATCAACTTTAAACATTTTTCACTGACAAACTACTGGCTGGATAGTTTTAAGATTTTGCAGAACTTTATTAATAAAATAGATGAGTTGGCATGTAACGGGCTCCATCAGTTACATCTGTCACTGATGTAACCTGTGGTATTTATTCAGATTTTTTTTCTCACTGTTTTGCACCCCAATAATCACATGGGGCACTAGGCAATTGCTTATGTCTGACACTGCTAATGAATTTATCAGCAAACAATGAGTCTGATTTCACTTGGAAGCCTGTAAACTGGATTCCATATTCTGAATGTTCATGAAGCTGATGTAATGATGCATCCTAGTGGACAGAAATGAATCATAGTTTTAATATGTGATTATTTTCCCGGTGTCTCTTCTTCTTAATGTCTAATTTAGTGAAGATGCCATGCGGAAGGCTGGTGCCGTGTCCAACAAATCCAGCAACGACATGGAGAGCCACGTGTTCGTTAAGGCCAAATCCAGGGTGAGCCAAGCCGACATTAAACACATGCAGGAAAAAGAGGGGTTTCCGCTGGGTGTGTGGCGAGATGGCCGTAGCTCTTTGTTTACTGTGATGTTTATTCACCGCAAACAGGACGAGTATCTCTCCCTGGTGGCCAGACTCATCATCCATTTCAGAGACATCCGTGAGTAGAAATGCCCACCACCTCTGCACATTGGCTCAGTTTCATGCATCCCACCTGGAAATTCTGACATTTTAAAGTGTTTTTTGTGTTGCAGATAAGAAAGCTCAAGGAGGACCAGGTCAGTTTTGAACTTTATTTTTCTCACAAACGGTCAAATGGGATGTGGGGGGTTTGGACGATAGAGGTTATCATCAGAGCAGTACTGAACACTGAAATGATGCCGGCTGCAGTGAACACAGGGGTGCACATACTTTCCCCTCCCCTGGACACTGCATTTCGTGGAACTGTACAAGTGTCTCTCCTGCCCAACCTTATCATGAATATACATTAATCTCCACCAGAAGCGGAACTAAATCTTGAGCGAATGTGATTATGGAGTCAGCTGTGTGTTTCAGCCCTCTGTGTGTTGATTTTTGTTTTCAAGAGAGAGAGTAAAAAAAATACTTTTATAGGTGTGCTTACTTGTAAACTTTTGCCCCCTTAAAATGCCCATGTTCAATGGGCAAGTGGAAGAGAAATCAGAGATGGATGGAGCACCCCAGGGACTTCTAAAGCAAAGATTTAAACTACTGAGATACATGGAAAAGAAGGTCCAGTTAGCCAAGGGATCTGTCAGTAATGCTGCTTTGATGATGGGTGGCGTTTCAATGGGGATCACGGCCAATGGGTGAAGAATCAGCCAAGTGTAGCTGACGGTTGACACCATGGTTAATAATAATAATAATAATAATAATAATAATAATAATAATTAATAATACTACATTTTATTTATATAGCGCTTTTACAAGTCAGACGCCTTACAGAGAAAGTACACAGAAAACAGATTATACAAATACACATTATGCATATGGAAGGTTGAATACCTGAGCAAAAAGTGAGGTTTTTAGCTTGGATTTAAAATCTGAAACAGAGGTCGATAAACGGATGGCAGTAGGTAATGAATTCCAAAGGCGGGGAGCTGAATTGGAGAATGCATGGTCACCATAGCTATGTAATTTGGAAGGGGGGATGAGGAGAGAGCCAGTAGAGGAAGATCTAAGACTGCGGGGGGGCTGGTAGGGTAGAAGCAAATCAGTAAGATATGGGGGATCTTGATTGTTAAGAGCTTTAAATGTCAGAAGTAGCATTTTGAAGTGAATGCACTCTTTTATGGGGAGCCAGTGCAGGCTCTGCAGAACGGGTGTGATGTGTTGATAGGAGCGGGTGTGAGTAAGGAGGGGGGCAGCAGAGTTCTGAACTATCTGAAGTTTATGAGGAGATTTAGCGGAGATTTATAGGCAAGAATAATCTTAAAACATTTACAAGTGAAGGTAATGAACTGAGTGATGGGATTATGCCTCAACGTAAAGATAACAAAGGTTATGGTCGTGGAGCAGCAGCCACCTTTAGTGATGGTGAAGATGGAGGGTTAGCTCAGTGGCTTTCGCTGTTGCCTCACGCCTCTGGGACCAGGGTTGAAGTTTCTGTCATGGCTCTATGTATGTGGAGTTTACATGTTCTCCCTGTGTAATCTTGGGATTCCTCTCTCGCAGTCCAAAACTGTGCTGATATCAATTGGAGTTACCAAATTGCCCATAACTGTGCCTGGGCCGGCTTGAGAAGATAGGCCTGAGCACGGTTAGTCAGACTTGGGTATGGTATGCTTCTGGTGTGATGGTTTACCGTGCTACGGAACACAAACGCATCCTCAGTGATGTGACTGACACATGCCTGCACACACACGTGAACTGGACCCCGAAGGAGTGGATCCGGTTGGCTGTATAGATTGCATCGTTTTTTTTACCCCCACAAAATTGCATTGCACAATAAAATGTCTACTTATTGGTCAGTGACGAACATGGCAGCAAAGGATCACTTTGGTCTATGGTCATGTCACGATACCGAAATCATGACCTTGATGCCAATACCAGTACTGCAAGGATACTAATGCAAAAAAAAAAAAAGATTAAGTATTGTTCATGGTAAATTATATATGCACTGAGTTTCACAAGACATCTATCTAAAGTGCATTTATAAGTTGTCTCACTCTAGTGTTTCCCCTTGGTTTACAGCTTGGGGGGGGCGGGACAGACGTACACCTACAGGATTCAAGGTGTTCATGTGTTTCTTTTAATGACAGCAGTCAATATAACAACTGAACTAAACATCAGAACATTTCTTTTTATGACAATTATACACAAAGTGTGCATCTTTTGTCACTCAGAGTATCTTTCTGGGCTTCTGGAAGAACATTTCTAGAGCCTCTTGATATGGGAAGTGAGAAACGTCTGGCCCAATTATTGAGATCCACATACAGGCTGCAAGATGGTCTCCTGAAATAAAATTCAAATGAAATAAAATTAACTTGACCTTCAAGGGGGGGTGGGAGGTGCCGTTGCGCCCCCCCTAATATAATGGTAGGGGAAACACTGCACTCAACTACATCACGTTCCCTGACATTGAAAGCCTCGCACTATGATCGCTCAGGTTCATTTGGTTACCTGGTGGACGATGATATGTTCTGTTAAATATATAAAGGGTATATCCACCTTGATTGTCGTTCACTTCCGCCTTATTAAAAATGCATGTGAGGGGGGCGGAGTGCTTAATGTAAGGAGACTTTTTGGGGGTGAGGGTTATCAGTCTGGATATGATTCGTTATTTGGTTTTTGAGATAGTGCTGCACTGAAGAATGAAGAGAAAAAAAACATGCCGGCACCCTAAACTGTAAAACATATTTCTTCCATAAGTGCTCATGACTATTACACTCCACTGTAAACAAACAAAACGGCAAACACAATATTAGCTAATATAAAGGTTACAGACATTTTATCTGTTTTCTTTTGTCCCTCTATTGAATAAACATGCAGAATAAATCTGTGTGTCATTGTGCCAAAAATGACTCCACATAAGGCACAAAATTAGGACACTAGTCGTGAATTCCATTGTTCTGTGCGATGGCCCTTTCCTTCCTTGGGTTCCTTCAACAGAAAAGAACTCGCACAGTGATGACAAAAGCGCGCTTGGGCCATGATTGTTAAGTGCAATGTGAGCGCAGACCAGCAGGGGGGGGGGGGTGTAATTGTGCTTGGGTACAGTACAAGGCAACCAGGCCAAGTGTGAAGACACTGTAAGTTGTGGTCCATCTGAGCAATCACCGCACTTGGCTTTAATGGAATGTTTTTAGGCGATGACTGACTTGGTTGGCACTTAAGTACTAAGCTTGTAGCACTTTACCCCTATTTTCTCTGTGTTTTCAGTCCTACCCACAGCAGACCCAATGAACGCACTTCACAATTTGACGGCGGTGGGGACGGGTGGACCTAGCGGGCTAACTATCGGACCCCGCCCCCCTGGAGCCTCCATGGGTAGCTTGACCCAAATGCCGATGACTCAGCATGTCATTCCGGGCGTTGCTGGAAACCCTCAGCCCAGTGAGTTGGTTTGTGGGCTGGGCCTGTTTCTGCACAGTGGCTGTGTCTTGATGGCTTCACCATGCTTTGCTTATGAGCTGCTATTGTATTAACTGCACCTAGAGGACCAAATAGGTCATCTGCTGTGTATAATACTGATTATGGCACAAGGAGTTAAGGCGTTATGCATGTAAGTTCAGCCTCATTTGAAGATTCTCTTTTCTTCAACACGCCATAATGCTTATTCCCGACACTCTGCCACTTGTCCTTCACTTCCTGAGGACTGCACTGTCACTTTGGTGGTCTGCTGACAGACCTCTGTCCTCTGCCCCATAGTTGCTATGCCAACCCAGATCCAGCAGATGGTCCAGCAGCAGCAGCAGCAACAACAGCAACAGCAGCAGCAGCAGCAACAACAGCAACAACAGCAGCAGCAGCAGTTTCCCCAGTTTTCGGCCCAGCAGCAGCAGCAGGTGGCCATGTTGCAGCAACAGCAGCAGCTTCACCGGCTGAAGCAGCAGCAACAACAACAGCAGCAGCAGCAGCAACAACAGCAGCAGCAGCAGGGTCAGAACCAGCAGCAGCAGAACCAGCAAGCTCAGCCGGTCAGTGAGTCCTCTTGTCTTGTGAGGCTTGTGGGAGGATGGGGGTATGTTGCTTTTCTCTTAATGGATCTGTGAGCATTTTCACACCTATGTTCTGGTACCTGGTTCTAAGTTCCCGGGAATTTTTTCTTTTGGAGACGAAAAAAACTTGTAAGTTAAATTTCACGTTTTCTTTCATACAAAACCACCCCCGCCACCCCAAAACAATGAGGGATGAACAAATTGTTTTGTTAGTTGTTAAGGGGATCTATCTCATTCAAAACTGGACATGGCTTTTTATTTATAGTTTAGTTATGTGATTCACAACGTGTTTATTTATGCACTTCTGCATAACTCCCAGATTAGCACCAGTGCTTGTGGTCAACCAATCGGCAAGGTTATCAATAAAAAGGGGTGCCGGAACTGCCTCAGAACCATGATTGGACTGAGTTTCTGCAGCGTGAACATGACAAAAGTTCTTGGTTCTAGGAAAAGGTTCTGGTTCCTGAAAAAAAAAATCCTGTGATGTGAAATCACCCTGTTACCTTTCACAGCTGCTGCTTTTGTCGATGTGTGTCAGATAGTTTCCGTTTTCTTGTTAACTTTGTATGACATCACTGTTTCTTTGTTTGCTAATCATCCTTAACCTGTTTCCGTCTGGCCCAGTGGGATTGAAGATATCCAGCCTCTCTTATATTCTTCCTGAACTTAGTGAACAGCAGGTCTGTGAATGTTTGCTGTAGTGAGAGGATAACTGACTGCCCACAGGGGTGAAGAGCGATTCGGCTCCACCCTGACACTACTCGCTTCTTGTTTGGTCCTTATGAGGTGTATGGACCATGAAGTTGTATAATTGTGAAATGGCTGGAGGTCACTCAGTGCTTCAGCTAAAATTATAGGGCTGATGTTGGTGGTTCTCTCATGCTCTCTGTTCTAGATGCTTGCATCCCGCCTGCAACAGCAGCAGATTGTCCAGCTACAGCAGCTCCAGCATCAGCAGGTGGCTCAGGCTCAGGCTCAGGCTCAGGCTCAGGCCCAGGCTCAGGCTCAGGCTCAGGCCCAGGCCCAGGCCCAGGCTCAGGCTCAGGCCCAGGCTCAGGCCCAGGCTCAGGCTCAGGCTCAGGCTCAGGCCCAGGCCCAGGCCCAGGCCCAGGCCCAGGCCCAGGCAGTTCAAGCCCTTCAACAGCAACAGCAGCTGCAGCAACAGCAACAACAACAGCAGCAGCAGCAGCAGTCCCAGCATCAGGCCCAGGTCCAGGCCCAGCAACAAGTGCATCACCTAGTCCACCACCCGCAACAGCCGCCACCACCTCCCCAGGCCTCCCAGCTGGCCCCCCACCCGCAGCAGGCCCTGGGAGGCCAGATTCCAGCCCAACACATGCCAATTGGACAGCTCAGCCAGCAGCAGCAGCAGCAAATTAAACTGATGCAGGTGTGAGGGGGAGACATGGAGGGAGCGGTCAGGGTGTGGGCGGACGCCTGCAGGGGTGAGTTCAGCGCTGAATTAACAAGACCCATTTTGAAGTGGCTATGCATTTTCAGCAGCAGCAAATGACCCCCAGAGTCATGCAGCAGCAGCCGTTTGCCCAGCAGCAGCAGCCGTTTGCCCAGCAGCAGCAGCCGTTTGCCCAGCAGCAGCAGGCGGTTTCCCAGCAACAAGCAGCTGTGGTCCAGACCCATCTTGTTCCTGGACAGGTGAGGGAGCTGCTAATCAGTCGTGGGTGGGGGCTTCCAGCTCTGGAGCCAGTACAATGTTGTTCATTATTTTTTAATCTGTTATTTTTTGTTGTCAAATTGCAGATGTCTTGGGTGGGTAACTATTCCATTGATGGGTGAACAACTTCTTATCAATTTTATTCTTTTCAGTTTTCACCGGTTTTCTTCCTTCTATTGGGATAAGAGGGAAGTTGCATCCATTTTTAAAAAAATATTTTTGTTTATTTCCAGACACTGGAATTACATTTTGGGTTTTCCAAAAATGAGTGATACACTCCTCTGAGGTCCAAGCAGGCTTGAGACCTTGGACTTGCTTTGTGGATGGTCTCCATGCTCCCTCAGAGTCTGCCTGCGTGGTTTTAAGAGATGTTACTATATCATGACATGTACTTCACGAGAGCCTCACCCACCTGGTCCCCAGTGAACAATCATCCATGTGAAAAAGTGTAGTGACAGGCAGGTCGCTTGCACGGACTTTGGAAACCCCCAAGAACAGGCGGTTAGCAGCTTGCCGGGCAGTGATGCGTGAACAGTCCTGTCAGCGTGGTGTATCTTAGACTCCCAGTCACCGAGAGTGTGCTGCGTCACCTTTTGAAAGGTTTCCCCAGATGTAGAATTTACAGGAAGCAGTCCGTCTCCCCTCCTTAAAGCTGCTGAAGAAGTCAGTGTACCTCTGAGCCTCGGATCTCGGGTTTGTCGCTTGAGGAGTTTGTGACCCAGTGGCACTTGGCTGTCCCGTGCTGCCCATTTTTGCGCGTCCCGGTTTGAAACTCTCCCCCCTCCCCCTACCTAAAACCCAGACTGATGGCAAACGCAGATGAAGGGGTTATAAATGGCGGTGAGCATCCCCCAGCCTAAAGGCCTGTCCTTCAGCAGAAGGGTCATGACACCCAAGGAACCCATGGGAGATCCCTCAGCTCACCCCATGGCATTTGTCACGGCTTGCGTGTGCATGTTTGGGTGTTGGCGTGTGCCCGTAGCTTGAGCCTGTCTACCCAGACGCATTGGTATCTATGTGGCTTGTTCGCTTGGACCGCTAAACCAAAGCTTTCCTTTCAGCCTGAGTGAGGCTTTTGCACCTTCTGAGCCCTTTTGCAGATGAGGCCGTAATCTGCATCCTGTTAACACACGCTGACTGGCAGGGCTGTGCATGTCTACCTGTGTATGTACGTGTAAGTTTGCGTATGCGTGCAGTTGAGAGATCCGCTACTTAGGAAACCATTTTTAATGTTAAGTTTTGCCTCTGATACAAACACAGACAGAGAATGCAGTAGCGCTGCATTAGAATTAGCCAAAGGAGTTGATGGCCTGTCAGACGGTCTTATATCATACTACATCGGAATAATCTCCACAGCACAGGCTGTGCTTCCCTAGGTGACCAGTAGGTGGCTTCACGTGGTCAGCATCAAGGAATATGTGCCACATTTCACCAACTGTTGTCTCATCACATAGTCTCAGGCCAGAAGCCTGTCCCTATAAAAATGTGATTTGTAATGTAATGCCAGCACTGAGTTGATAGATGGTCTGTCTTCTGCTGGTTGTGCTGGTTTGTGTCTGACACCAGCACAAAATGAAGGGGTTCATCTGAGACCAGTACTGAGGAATCCATGTTTGTTTGCTTTACTTGTTGCTGTGCTCTTGGCAGTCTGTGTTAAACCTGCCTGCTTAAAATGGCCTTAACTAGACAACTAAAGATGCTCCCGATTTTAATGTTAATCTTTTATTGTAACTGAATTGTTCCGTGGAATCATGGGTAAAAAGTGGCAGCCTTACCACACCGTGAAGTGTGTGTGACAGCTGTGTGTCTTGGCCGCACTGCATGCGCTCTTGACTTAACCCTCAGAGACGCTGTGGCCGTGCATGGGCCCTCGCTTGGGGTCTCTGACTCTGTGTTTGTGTCCGCATGACCCCCCATGTGCTGCTGCCATACTGCGTTTGCATTCGTTTTTTTTTTTTTTTTTTTGACTGTCTGAAAATACAACAAACCATTAAGGATTTTCCTGAATTATTTGTTTTGCATTTTATTTTGGAGGTTTTTTTTTTTTTTTTTTTGCTTGTGACCTGTCTGTTGTCCCTTTATCCTCCCGAGATGATGATGATGGCCCGCTCTGGGATGCAAATTCCACCCCGCCCACCCCGCGCCACGCCGACCTCTGCAGCGCCCCCCAGCGCTGCCACTGGGGGAGGACAGCAAACGCCACAGGTATTTACCCTAGGGATTGATAGCAGCACCCAGAGGTATACAGTGTGGCCCCCCCCCCCCCCCCCCCGGCCCCCGTCCCGTCAGCCACATACCTGCGATTGCAGAACTAGACCCATGTGAGGATCAGCTCTTGGGCTCTGGATTTGTGCCGGTTTTTGCATCAGTGTTTGGCTCTGATATGCGGTGTGTGATCAGAAGCTGAGGAGTCGCCCGGCCGGAGCCGTGCGTCATGCAGGGCTCGTAAACAAGGAAGCACACGGACATTCAGCTGAAATTTCAGGTTGGAGGCTCCTGTGAATGGGAGCTGCAGAGTCTGGAAACTCTGCAATGCTGATTGGCTGGCTGGCCCCTCAGGTAACAGCGCGGTGTACTGATTGGCTGACTGGCTCCTCAGGTAACAGCGCGGTGTACTGATTGGCTAGCTGGCCCCTCAGAGTTTCCTCCAGGCCTGCAGATGGAAGCAGGTGGAGCCTCTTGCTCTTGGAAGTAAAGAGATGGAGCTGGTGCTGTTGGCTGGATTTCTGGGAGAAACCCTGTACCTTTTTTTTGGGGGGGGGGGGCAAGTGCACAGTTATGTGAATGGGAGTGCTAGGGCCCCCCCTCCCCCCTCACTCTTGAAACCACACACTCATGGACCCCTCGTCTCATCTCCACTCAGCAGGTCCCTCAGTCCTCGATGATGTCATCGTCCCCCTCTTCAGTGCAGGTGCCCCCCCCGCAGTCCATGCCGCCACCCCCCCAGCCGCAGCCGTCCCCACAGCCTCCGACCTCCCAGCCAAACTCTGTCAGGTACGACACATAGGAAACAGCCCTTGGTACAGACGTGCTCCCGCTGTGTCTGATGGCGTATGCAGGTAAAAGAAATAAGAAGGATACTCTGGGCCTGTAGGTCCTGCCTGCTGCTTTGCATGGCCCCAGATCATGGGCTCACCCAGGGCCAGCTGGCCATTAATGTACCACTCATACTGTTATTTACAGACTGTGCCCTGTCTCATCGGCCCCTCCGCTTGTTTATCCCACTAGACCCGGCCCCCTCTGGTTGCCATCCCGTCACCTCTCTGCATCACCCTTCTCCATCTCCCCTTCCTGTCGCCCCTCTCTATTGCCCTCTCCACCCTTCTCCATCTCTCTTTCCTGTCGCCCCTCTCCATCACCCTTCTCCATCTCCCCTTCCTGTC